TAGGTGCGTTATGTATATATGTACAGAGAGAGGAGAAAAAAACCGCACATATATGGAATATTAATGACCGGCATCGTCCCTGTTGAATACGAAACGACGTTTATGTAATTTATATCGCCGCCGTCCACGATATCTATATTCTCTGGTGGGGGGGGGGGGGGAGGGATAGAAAGGGGGCGTTATCTCTTTGACATTGCTCCTCTCCCGCGATCGAAGATTTATCGGCTGTATCGGTGTTTTTGGAACTATACCCATGCTTAAAACGGACGGCTAAAAGGTGAAGATATCGGCAAATGTCGTTTATTGTACCAAATGCAATATAATACAATAACGAAGAACTCATACTCACCTTTGTGGGTGTCTCTCTCTGATTTCACGACTAGCAAAAACAGAATATTTAAATTTCAAAAGAAACGCAGACGTGTGCTTAAATAAAATCATTTCTAAGTCACACAGCGATCGTCGTAAAATATACATCACTCGTAAAATCGATGGTATTAGACATCTACACCAAGAGAATACATCGTGTTTTTTTGGATGAAAAAATGAAATCCACACAATTGTAATGGTAAATTGTAAACAATTATTTTAAAGTATTAAATACTTGTAGGTACTTCCCTCGTATTTTTCAACATCTCAAGATAAGAACGCGTCATGATACTATAGGAAAAGTGATCTATATGTAGACAATCTGTGGATTCAAATCCATGTAACGGTGGATAACGTCTCCGACGAGTGACAACGGTTGTGACCTTTCGAATACCATTCGTAAAGGCTGATAGTTAATCATATCTATTATATCCTCGAATTCGACTCAACATTTTAGAACTCGAGTCTGATTTCGTTTATTTTTATTTGGGGAAGTTGAGTTGTTATGATAATATAATGCTAAACGTTCGTGCCTGTGGCTACGTTATTACTTATTACTTTTGACTGCTGGAGTTTTCGCCTCACTTAAGAAGAATACACGAAGCATGTTAAGTCAATAGATATATAAATGGGCATCTTAAATTTTGGATTGTTACTACAGGTCATGTCGGACCTACTTTTCGTGGTTTCACCCTAGGATGTTAAGTATTGATGATGCATATAATATCATCGTGTAGAATAGAAAAATGATTTGAGTAAGCCATTTTAACGGCGGCGTTCCGAATACAATACAACGAAGATGATATTATTTTATCGGTGATGTAAAAAAAAAACAGTAAACACAAATTATAGGTGTACCACGGTATAGAACAGATATAAACGCATCCAACCATGACTGCAGCGGAAACGGAACTTATGTTAGACCATTATTTTGTCGGTTCTCGCTCACGTTACATCTACTTATCGATGCGGCTCACGGTGGCGCTCTTCTTGTTGGCCAACCACCCTGGTATTTAATTTATGCGTTCATGTAGAATGTCAAAGTCAAACGCGACACGACGTTCGTAGTACGTCTGTTATTTTGATTCTGAGAAATAATTAGATAATTAATTATACGTTTTAAATATATTTACACTTACACTGCATATTATAATATTATTTTACAACATTAGTTTGTAGATCGATGGATACTATTTTTTTATTAAGATCGTGTTTTAAAGCATGGCGTGTGAGCAATTATCACTGTATTAATTGTACCTATCTTGATTTTAACTATTCTTCGTAGGTAATGTCTTCGTTGAATGCCTGTATTTTTTAAAATATTATACACTCTGAAAAAAAATCTATTGATCAATTGTCAATTGGGATTTAGGAATTTCAGCTAATTTACAATTCACAAAACTGTAAAAGTTATAACCGAAAAAAGTTATTGGGAAAATAATAAAAGTAAACAATAATTATTATATAGTATACCTAAGGGGTAAATCCGTTTAACGGAAAACACACATTATTTCAGAAAACAATAACGTTTTGGGAAATATTTTTTGTATAAAATTTCAAGTCGTTAAAAAAAAATTTTTTTACGATTTTTTATGGTCATCATTTTTTTAAGTTTTTAGTCTTATGAATTAAAACATATATTTTTAATTTAATATTTCTAAACAGTTTGTTCATCGAAGTATATTTATGTGTAAAAATTATATTTCCAACAAGTAGTTTATTGGTTGAGGGTAGGTATTTAAAGTTTAAATGAGCAGAGTAGTGGAACATAATTTGCGGGATATCCCTGTTATGCAGTACTTCACCATTCCGCTTAACTAAACTTTAAATACTTACATCTCAGAAACGATAAGCTAGGTACTCGTTAAAAATTAGATTTTATATATCAGTCATCCAAAAAATATTCTGCTTTAGAATAAAGTATTAAAAGTATATGTTGTCATAAAACAAGTTATAACGATAAAATTAGTTTAAAAAATAGTTTTTTCGACTCAAAAATATGTAAAAAACATATTTCTAAAAACCTTAATAATATTCAGTACATTGAAATTATGGTTGTCTTATGTTAAATGGATCACTCCGTACAAAAAAAAAAAAAAAACTATTGGGTACTTGTTAGTTTTTTCATTTTATTTGACATAAAATTCATTCCGTATAAAGCTAAAGAATTATACCTATTCGTACCTTACGAATATTTTTATTACTATCCATTTCACAATTATTGTTTAAGGTCAGTATTAAAAATTTAAATACATTTGTATAGATACTCGTATAGTAATTTAGCTGTAATTATATCTAAAATATTTCAATGTTTTTTTTAATCAATTTAATTAAACCAAAATAATGCTTTACATTTATTACGATGTGACTATTGTACATTAATTTAATCTATAGCTATTATAATATAATAATTTAATTACAAAGTTCAAAACAATTATAACATTGGTTATGGGAAGTTATCGTATTTTATAAAATATAATAGGTATGCTATTCATGAATTAAATAATATAACAATAATTATGAACAACGACTTAGGTTCCAAAATTATAGTTTGATAAAAACATAAAAAATCTTAATACAATTTATTTAATTTAAACTCAAAAGGCTTTTAAGTTATTATGTTTATTATTATCAATACATTATTATTTATTATAGTAAATACCAATGACCATTTAATACGACGTCATTGTCATGTATTTAATTACTTTTAGCTTCGTTATTTAATTTAAACCATAACCATATAATGGACGTGACCAATGATGATTATAAATGATGATATATATTAATATTAACATATTACATTTAGAATATTGTATAGGTACTCGAATGTTGAAATGAAATACAAAATATTATAGATAATTTTTGTTTCATAAAGTAATACTTTTTGAAATTTGAACTTTTTCACATGCGAATTCCCTAAATTTGATGTACTGAGTACCTATAGTATAGTACCTATACTCTATTTGGCTATGATTTATAATTTGTATGTATATGCATAATTATTAATGCATAAAATACGATTCTTAATACATTTTATTTAGAATATTCATTGATAATAATAACGTGTTATTTATGATAAAAAAATATTAATTTTAAGATTATCATTTTTTTTTGTCCTATAGGCATTTGTGTGTATTTGTGTATCAAAAAGAAATACTTAATTTAAACACATATATTTGAATTTGGATTTGATAAGTTTAATAAATTGTCTATATATTTTTTAATTTATTTTCAATACATCAGATTTAAGATAAAACCTGTCGACCAGAAAATTGACAATCATACGGATTTGTACAGAAAGATTTATTTCAAAACATATTAAATTACCTTATTTACTCAAGTTAGTAAATACAACAAGTCTATACAATTTAAATTCAAATTTTTAAAAAGTGTATTGATAGATGAAAATACCTATCACAATTCATTGTAATACTTAAAGTAGTTTGTGCATATTTTGTGTAAACTATGTTTCACTAAAATACAAAAAAAAAAATGAATATAAATTTTCAAAGTATACAATATGAAATAAGCCAATAACAATACTTATTTTTTAAATATATTGTTTTTAAATTCAACAAAAGATTTTCTTACCATTTATATTTTGCTAAACGATAAATTTTAAACTATATTACTTATGTATTCACACTTGTAAAACTATGCGTTTGGACATAAAGATAATTATTGGAATTTAAAGAACATCAACATTGACGAGTTAAAAATATTTTAATTCTCAAATGCATTGGAAAAAAAGAAAACGACACGATAAAAAACAAGTTAAAAAAATCAGCAAGGACGAAAATACTTTTTAAATGAAAACTATAAATAAATGAGAGCGTATTCGTTGTGTTTGTTGAAGATGAAAAGATGAATGATTGTTTGAATAACATCGGAAGTATTTAAAATTGTAATTGTGTTAATTATAATATTGTTATGTGACTTTATATTAATACATGCCTATATTATACAGTATTAGTTAATAATTAATAACTTTATTAAGTGTATTAAGTGTTTATTGCAATACAATATTTGTATGTTATAGTTTAAACTCTACATTACACATAAGACATAACAGATGTTGTACCTATTGTATAGTTTAGAAAAACTACTATGTTCAATTAAATCTTTTTGATTTATTAAGAATTTGGAGGTTATCCAATGTTTTTAAGGCCAGTGAAATAATATTTTCTACTAAAAAGTAAAATGGGAAAATTCTCATTAAGACCTTCCATAATAGGTAGGAGGAAAAGAGCGCATATATCTTTGATTTTTATTCTCACGCGATAAAACCCGATGGTTTTATTTCATTATTATTATTATTACTGTATTACTGAAAACATGGCGCATAATTGGGTCGTTTTTCACTTTAATCAACCGCGAAGAAATCTCCACCAAGAGTTTCCATTAATTACTTTTAAATTTAATTTTACATTCGAAACTGTTATAAGGAGACTCTTATACCTTTTGAAATGTCCTTTTTAATAAAGGAGTAACGAAAAGTTAAATTGTGTAAATAATATGAAACACTTACACATTTGGTTATATTATTTGTATGAGTTATACAATCATATAAAATATGTACTTTACTATAGAATTAAATGTGTATAATATCTTAAATATCAATATTTTTTTAGGCCAAACTCGACGGCATTAACCATATTCCACTCAAGAATATCAAAAAGAGAAATGTATCCTAAGAACGACACGTATGTGCCATTAATTTTAAAAAACATGGCCACTGCACGTATCTTAAGCGTAGGTGAGTTTTTCGGATTAACCTGTTTATTATTAATATAATATATTTAGTTTGGTAATATTAAATATTATATTTCAGCTCAAAAAGAAGGAGGCACACAACTCAAGCTTGTTATAGAGTATACAAATGGAGACAAAGCTCTTATGAAACCGATGAGGTAAATGATTAAAGTATTTTTTCAAAATATTGACGAGGGTGGTATTTTGTATTACTAATTTATTTATATATATAAATGACCTTTAAATTATATAATTGAAATATAATATAAAATTAAAATGAAACAAAGTATCCATTAATTGAAGCATTAGTATTTAATGTATGTAAATGGACTCTTCGTAACTATTATTTGAAACTGACTCAGACATGTTAATGTTTTAAAAGCATGTTCTATCGCTTATTAGTTCCGTCAGGTATTTTTGAATGTTGAAATAATTGGCAAATTACTAACTAATTTTAATTTGAAACTAGTTTTAGCGACGTTGACACTTTTTTAGCGAATCTTCGACGGTCTGCGTTTCATTAATTCGTTTTATCCACTATAATACTGTAGCTATACACATAATATTTACTTAATATTATGTAAACAACATTTTAACGATTTATATAAATAAATAAAAAAATTATTGAAAATAATATAATTTTTTCTAACTTTACTTAGTATTCACTTAAGATTCATTGAAGTCGATTTAAATTCAGAGTTATGAAAGTATTTAAAACTTTGGAATTAGAAATATTAAAGTAAATTGATTCTTAGTTTAAAATAACACTTTCTTGTATTCAATGTTTATCGTAACTGCTACTAAAGTTATTCGAAATTGTTGCTACGAAGCGGCCTCTCATGACTCAGTAATCGTATCATATATTATATTGTACTATTCTAGAGAAATAAAAATTAGCAATTTGTCGATAATTTTGCACAAATAAAAACAGGAAGCACGTACAACATAAAACATGTAGGTACCTACTGTTGGAGGAAATATTTATATAGAATACTGAATAATGTACAACGTTTACTGTTTATGAATAGATGTTGGTTTTTATGTACCTACCTATCTACGTGTTTAATATTATATTTGAAGTATTATTTCGATTTCATCATTGCTAATATCAGAAACTATAATAATTATAGTAATAAAAAAAATAATAAACTAAATTATCATTCAATTTTTAAATAGGTTTAAAATGTAGATTTTTTTTACAAAATGTATTTATATAATAAACCAATATGTAGACATTCATTTGTGTAACATTTATCAACTTCGTTGTAATTATATTGCGTATTATTTCATAAAAATAAAATACCTAGGTGGCTAAAGTTGGAATTTTAAAATATTAAATATAATATGGTATTTTTTAATACATTGAAAATGCTTAGAATCCTTTTTAAATGCAATAATTTATAGTTGCTAATTTATACACCTAATAACAATGCAACATAATATCGGTTGCACCAAGGTGATCAGAGCGAGACGACAGCCAAAAAACATCCAGTCTCTATCTATATACATGGGCTGTGATTTTTAATATATTATTTATACGCATTTTAAAATTCTTTAGCCGATTTAGTCCATTGTGTTCACCTTCGCGTCATATTGGTATTATACGATTATATGTTAACACACACATTTTGTGGCAATCACTTTACAATTTCAGATTATTACGGAATTATATAATATTCATATATTAATAAAATATTATGTATTAAGTGAAAAGTCGTAGTTTTGTAATATAGTTAATAATGTAGCACCAGGTGATCATAATATATAAACTTTTGATCAAAAGATGATTTATAAAACGAAGCTGTTTTGAAGATGCTATAATATAGCCCATAGTTTTCCATAGTCAGCACATGGCTTCATTATACATAATATTAATATTACCCATGGGCCATGATGTATAGTACTATATTATTATTGTATCACACTATCACGTTATAGATACTTTTGAAAATAATTTGTTTTTATACGATCGCAGGTTCTCCAGAGAACAACAGACTCTGCCGAATCATTTTTACTTCACCGACTACGAAAGGCACAACGCCGAAATTGCTGCGTTTCATCTCGACAGGTAAGTCCATCGCTAAAACGAAAATCATACGCATTAGTTCCGAATGATAGTCTATCGTAAACGTTATTGTGAATGAAGCAATTCCTTGGTCCGTGCAATCCAGTGCATTACATCACGGTGTTGTGCATTGTGAAACAATGCGGTTCGATCCAAAAAATGATATAAACTATGTGTATTATATATATAACATAATATATACGCGGGTATAATATACTATATACTATAAATAGGTATATATTTTTTTGCTGCCTGAAAGAAAAATAAAAAAATAATTTTAGTGAGATCTGTCAAAAATGATGCTGTGGTTGTTACCAATTTCAGATAATTATCAAAAACGGAGTATCGAGAACAGGGGTAATTGATAAAATTTGATAACTATTATAATATGTACCTAGTATTGTTTTTTGTTGTTTTTATTTTTTAACTCCAGTAGATCACAAAAATAAAGTTATAATCATTTTTGGTGACATAATACATCTAGAACATTATAATAACCTTTTTTTTTAAGCGATATCTCATAACATTATTATAATGAGTCTTATGACACTATTATAGTATTATAACAAGTCTGCTATCATATGCGTAGGAATCGGCATAATACGCATGTCTCTCTATTAAATGCATTCATAAGGCACTATACAATTAACAATGTGTACATATAATTAATCATTTTTATGCATATACTATATACGTTATTATTATTTGTATTACTTTTACAGTTTTACAGTGTTACATTTTATCAAGTAATACAAATCCAATTTTCTAAAAGTAATGTTTAGAACGATGACATTCCACGGACCATTAAGTATTTTTCATCATCTCACTTTGTATATGTCCACCCATCATCTCACTTTGGATATTATGTCCACCCCATCTCGGAGCATAATCTTCAAATGGATTTTTTTTTGGTTTTTATTTTTTAGAAATTCGATAGCATATTTTAAAAGTTTTAATGATATAATTCAAATAAAGCGTATACATTTTAATAATAAATACAGTTTGTCATTGAGTTTTTCTACGCATTTTATCGTTTATAGAAATGGTAACAAAGTAACAAATTAGTACGTCTTAATAATATAATTTATGCGTCCCTACGGGCTACTGATAGATTAACCAATAATGAACAAAGAACATCTTGAGGTTTCTAATGGAGAATCATTTAAAACCTTATCCTAACTGAATTTTCATTTTATTGAAAATTGTTCACCACAAGTCGCTCAACATTTAACAATCATAATTCAACGAAACTGAAAATAAAGTAGCTTAATTTAATCATTTAGTATTTACACAGTAAACGTCGACACATATTATGTGTGTCGATCCTAATTTAGTAGATAGGCTAATGACGTATCTGAATTTTAAATCTTAATCTGTGTTAGGAGGGAGGGTGATTAAAAAAGCAGTCCTAGTTTGCGCACATTAACTGAAATTAAAACTTATTTGCGCACACAGTATACACAATATATGCAATAGATATATCCTCTATGGAAAGCTTCAGCTGCGTTCGTTGTAGTTGGTTGTTTATCATTTGATTTTATAGCCCACATGGAAAGGTTATTGTTTGAACTAGGCAAAATATATGATACAAAATACAAAAACATAATCGGAGAAATATAATCAGGTATTCTAGCAATAGATATTAAATTTATATAAGTTATCTTTATTTCTTCTGGCGGTGCCAAGTTTATTACAGCAAACCGAAAAAATATTTATTTACATACCATTTGTAACCATTTACTTACCTCGGAATTATTATTTTTATACTCCAGTAATAATGAACTAGGTACCTACTTACTAATTTGTATTCGACAAAACCAATATTGTACTAAATGCAACGCACAACATACAATTTTTCGTTGAGGCAATACCTTTCAAGATTAAAATTGAGTTATGAGCATATTGTTTCAAGTTAACATTAGTTTATTTAATACTAAGTTTCCGATTGAGGATGTGAGTAGGTATACACATTTTGATTTTGAAGTGTTTCCTACATATTTATGAAGTTAAATGCATGTTTTTTTTTTACATTTTATTGGTATATAGCCTAGTAAATTATTTCGGGCAATTAGAAAATTGTATTTTTTTGCATAGGTACCATTGTATAGGAATACCATACGCATGAATGCATAGTATATTATTGCACAAACGAGTGGTCGCAATTCTTTAATATTTTGTGCGCAAACAAGTTCCGGGTTTTAATGAGAAATTTTAAAATGTGCGCAAACTGTAGACGGTTAAAATCGTTTGATAAAACTAGAAAAATAAAATACAGAAAGTATTACCTTGATTCTCATCATCGATCAACTTCTTGAATTTTTTTTTAATTCTAGAATTGATTTTTATTTAATTTAAAGCCAATTTAACGATCTCGATTACTATATAGATATATATATATAGATGCATACAAATAAACCAATAACCAATTTTACCAACTAAACTGATATCGCCAAGAGCCAACCTCTCCCCCTCCACCGTAGACTATTAAATTGTTTCATATATAATATTATAATGTTCATTCTTCAGAGCATCACGGTTTTTAAAGGAGTTTAGTATGAAAATATTTGTATAATAATATTATAATATCGTCCATAGGATATTGGGGTTTCGGAGAGCAATGCCTGTCAGCGGTAGATTGGTGAACATCACGTCTGAACTCATGGCCCAGGTGACCGCGTCTGATTTGTTGAAAACATTCTTCGTGTCGCCCGACAAAAATGTGTGCTTTCACGGACAGTGTTCCTATTACTGTGACACGTCGCATGCTATTTGTGGAAATCCGGACACGTTGGAGGGCTCGTTCGCCGCGTACCTACCATCCCAAGATTTTTTGGAGAGAAAGACTTGGAGGCATCCGTGGAGACGCAGCTACCATAAGCGGAGGAAAGCGAAATGGGAAACAGGTCAGTGACGAGAACGATAATTATATTATCCATAAATAATTGTGTGGTGCTAAGATAACGCCAGACGTTGGAATTCAAAAACGTAACATTACAGTAGATTCCGCTTATAAGGATCTTTACGGGATCTTTAGATCGTTGTTCCCAAAATTCGCTATAAACCAGATGACAAAAACATATTGCATGTGCGATAAAAAACCAACCAAATATAGGTACATGGCTCGGAATCGTTTTATCTGGAATATCGTTTTTTACTTTGTAATAAGTAGTTTCTACTGTACCTGTATGTTTTTTAATAACATCGATGAGAAATAGGATGATTCCGGTAAAATACGACAAAATTCACGATGTTAATTTATCATCTACACATAAATATATTAAAAGTGTACGCTTTTAATGGTCTTATACCAAAGAAAATATTTAAAAATTATGTACACGTGAACTTTTTTTACTAATCAAATATGTTTGACTTTAAGTGTAGGTCTCTGTGTGCAGGTGTTGCTTAAATATATAAATAGTATATTATATAAATTTATAACATAGGACTTTTTGATGAAAAGGTCAATGATTCTACACCTACAAATATTTTCAATTAAAACTTGTGAATTTTGTTTTATTTTTTTTCTCACGGGCAATATAATAATTGAATGAAGTATTGTTACAACTTTTTGATTGTCAAATTTGAAAGTTGATCAAAACAAAAAATCATTAATTCAAATTATAATGTATTCTTTTTATTATTAATGTTTTTGATTTATTACATTTAACGGATTATTAAAAAAAATATGTTTATTTAGTTGATAATATTAACATGACTGCTGTACAGAAACATTGAAATATATTTAGGACATTTATTTTAATGATCAGATGATTCTTATATTCTAATAAATAAATAAATAAATAAATAATAAGTTCAGCAAAGCGCGAAGAAAAATTAATATTAAATGTATCAATTTTATTTTAAAATTACAATATATTACATGTTTGAGATGAAATAGATAGTATATACTATATAATATAATATAATACACCAATACTATGTAAGGTTATCTTTTTTGTTAGAGATTTACCGACAAAAATCTTTCTTTACATTATTTTTTCGCTATACTTAAATCGACAACCAATAACCCATAAGGAACTCTTCTGTCAACTAGTTGATAATATTATTTATATAATATTATAAAATTATGTGATAACTGATAAAGAATTAAAGAATAAACAATTTATTATGTTACGAGTGATTTATAATATTCAATATTTAGACCTAGTCAAAGAAGACTTAGTTTATGATTATAAACTCAAATAAGGTTTTTATTTCGATCAACGCATCATCATGCTAACACTTTATGTTTTAAGACAATATTTTTTAATTTAAAAATACGCCTCAACTACCAGGGTTATTGGTGTTTATAAAGAAACACATTACATTTTAAAATTTCTAAAATACATCACTAATAAAGTTGTATACAAAATATCTTAAAATGATACATCAAGGTTTAAATTATTGAAAATACTTGTAGTTTAATTTATGTGTGCTTGTTATATTTTCTGAAATAGGTTCGTCTCTTTGAGGAGTTCCAGAAGAGTCGATGTTCTCTCTGTGTTGGGTGATAGTATTTCGCATAGATGCAGGGGGCCATCAGTTTGTTTCAGGAGTCATTTGTCAGTTAAAACAATAATAAAAATAATAAAAATAGTTTAATATAATATAATTAAAATCTATAATGGGTATAATTCTCAAAAATATTTATTTATGTTAAGATACAAATTAAATTTAGTTGTTGTTGTGGTTAAGAAGTTTATATAATTATTCCAACATTTTACTTACAATATAATTTAGCTTGCATACATACAAAATAATGGGACAATTAAACATTATTATCTTACTATAAAGTTTTTATATTACTATACAGTCTGAATGGTGCTTTTGCTTTAAATAGTCAAAATCAACAACTAAACATTTTACAATAATAATATTATTTTTGCCTGGAAAATACTTTAAATATTAATCATAAAGCTTTAAAATAATTAAATGTTTACCACTTTAGTTTTTCATGCGTCAGTCAAAAAATAAAATGTATTAATAATGTTAAATAAAGAATCAAGTTAATAGATTTTAATTTTTTTTAAATACAATGTTTAATAAAGTTATAAAACGCTAATACATAATTACCTAGTTTAAAAAAAAACTATATTTAATCTCAAATTTCAATTACGTTTCGTGGTATGACTAATGTGTTTTATACAAATGATATAGATTATGTTTAAAATATAAACTATTTTATTTAACCTAATTATAATATTGTTAGCTACTTATTAACTTAATTATTTGTCTCCTACGCCCAAGCATTGTAGCTATAAAATCTATAAGTAAGTTATAAAGTAAAATATAAATAATAATACAATTCACATATTATTATTATTTTATAGAGCTGATTTACTGAATTGCCGAACGTTTAATTTCTAATGGCATATTTGCTATAGTGAATTTTATTGTTGATAACAAAAGTAATTAATAAACAAATGTACGGTTCATTATAATTGTCCCTAATGTATGCATGATTAAAACCTCAGATTATATTTTTTAATGTACATAATAAGTGATATTATGTACAATTGTTTGACTTACTGCAATTCCATACTGGAAATCTATTAAACGTGGTTTTTGAAAATTAAAATTAGATTTTTTACAAGATTAACATAAGCAAATAAATCAAAATATATTATTGCGATCAACAGGATTGTTTATTTAGATAGATATTGTCTTCGACACAGAGCGAAAAAGACTGTAAATTATCGTTCAATTGTAATGCAAATATTATGTTAAAATGGTAAATGGGGCGAAATTGCATTACAAAGTGTGAATATTGTGCTCAAGGTGACGGAAATAAAAAATATTATTCCCCAATATATTAGCCTTATTTTTGTTGTTTAGCTCTAAATACTTAATGCACCGAAATTGTTATTTTATTTTGTTTATATTTGATATAGATCCAAATTACTGTGAAATGATCAGAAACTTACCGCCGTACAATAGTGGTCGCCGGATGTTGGACATTATGGACTTGTCCGTGTTTGACTTTCTCATGGGCAACATGGACCGTCATCATTACGAAACATTCACCTTGTTCGGCAACGACTCATTTCCTATTCACCTCGACCACGGTCGGGCGTTTGGCAAGGCGTTCCACGATGAGATGAGTATATTAGCTCCAATCATCCAGTGTTGTCATATACGAAAATCTACGCTGGAGACTTTGTTAAGGTATTGGTTGTTCGTACTATTCGTAAAGCGATTAAAATAAAAACTCAAACGACGCGGTTCGCTTTGCATAGTTATTAATCATTATTATTAGGGACGACTTATGTAATATGATGGTAATGTAGTAGTATACAACTGTTACCATACGTTTAAGGCAGTACAGGCATAGGTAGAACTTCAGTTAGAAAGAATTATTTTTTTTCTATTCTTTATGATGTAAAAAACAAAATAGTGCAAAAAGACAAAGGTTATTATTATAATGGCATAACAAATGTTTGGCATTGCAATTATGGTCTTGCAAAAAATAACCGTGGATAAAAATGTATCCGATTAAACCTTCTCAGATATCGGCAGTGTAGGAAAACAATTTGGTCAATTAACAGGACAATTTATTTATTTCCCCTGTTGTCTACGAGAACTCTGTGAATAGAATTTTTATGCAAGCACCCGAACCTAAAATTATTTATTACAAACCCGTAGGGCTTTGAACATAATAATTAAATAATCTGGTTCAGAAGTTTTATCGGGTTTCCGACACAATTAAAAACCATAATTCATAAGTGAAGAAATATGAATTGAACTTCAAACATTTCTTTTTGTAGTCTTGTAGTCACTAAATTGTTCGTAGAACTCAATTCCCGTTACACTCCCTCGATGGCATCACAATGCTTTAATTAACAAGTCTAGTATAAAATTTGATTTATCATTATAAGATCTTTAAATTAACAAAGAAACCATGCACCTATCTATTGTATAGTTTTCATCAACTTGAAACATATAACTTTTGGCGACCTAATGATATAATTATTTTTAAATATTCAATATAAAATATATCTGGCCACTTGTTTTGGTATAATAATATATCCAAGTCTGTTAGTATACCAAACTGCGAGTGTATTGGTCTTTACTCTGGTTAATGGTTATCTCCTCTCCCTCCAATGAAAGTAACGCTTAAGGTCGCTCTCGAAATATAAAAATAGGTAATTACAATTCTAGCACTTACTATAATATTACGATGTTGTGTTGTCGAGACTTGTGAGGGACGAGGTGTGTGCATTAATAACGATCGTCTGTATTGAATTACGTTAGTACTTTATTTTATCGTATTCAAGATTATAATATTATATTTTATACAGAGTCTATGATGTATATTCCCTTCAGTACACGAAAACACTGTCGACTTAATTGACGTTTTGACAAAAACGTAAAATGTCAAGAAATTTAAAACGGCTTTGCAAACGATCGCTTTAGGACGTAAGTTGTGATGTCGGGATTGGGTGGCGAGCGAGAAGAAAACCGTCATCCGTATATCTATATATATACATTATATAATAAATATATATAATACCACGAAAGTGTGTTTGTTTTCTGCCACGTATGTCCGGCGGCCACCGCCACTGCCTTCGAGTGGCATCCGGCGAGTGTCTATATAGTCGAGGGTGTAGGTGGATAGGGGTGGAAGAGTCGTTGTGAACGTGGATATTCGGACTTAACTGCACGTCGACGGATAAAAGGGCCCGAGAGAATAAACGGCGGCGTGCCAATGCCGTCCAGCGATTGGTGGGCAGGGGGTTGGTGGCTGAGGGGGGGTAAGGAGATTGGTCCATTCCTCGCGTATACCTATTTATATATTACACATATATAGTACATGCGATAGAGATAATCTTAAATAAACGGCAGCCGTTAAGAGGTTGGGAAAACCCATTACGGGCATTCGCAAACACGAGGTGGACCCGATAAAATATTCAGCGGGGACAAAAAGCCCGACGACGTTTTGAAAAGCTCTCGTGCTGGCCGACCACGCTATTATGCACCGGGTGGGCACATACACGTCACGGGCACTTAGCATAATTATCTGTTATTGTCATGACGGACTATCGTGACGTGTACAATAAATAACAGTTGCAGTGCCGCTTCGGAATCGGTAAACCATCTCTCGGTCCGTGCAACAAACATATTATAAAACCGCAATGCACCGCGGTTTTTCCCGCTGCATCTGAGCGCCCGACCGCGCCGCCGTGACACGAATGAAAGTACCTACCTACGTAATAATATGCATTCGCTTTTCGGTGCAATTCCACGAAAATGTGTACTTTCGTGCGGCGTTTAAAGTCTCCCGATACGGCTTTTAGCCGCGGCTGCTCTGTTCAAAGGAAAGCGCGTTTATTACCGGACTGCGATAAAATACACCAGTTGTGCCTATGCAATATTAATAATATAATTCTCCGAACACGTCAGCAATAATATAGGTAGGTACCTGCCTATGTAATAATATATTGAGCTAGAATGCTAGATACAGCTGGTGTGCACAATATATAAACGGTACATATGTGCGCATTATACTGCGTAATGCTTGTACCCATTATAATACTTCTACAATTATTGTTCTGGTTGCCACGGTTCGACTTTTAAACACCAACCATTTAATATTATATTATTGTAGTGTTTTGTTGCGGGGATAATATTAAATATTGAAAACAAAAATAAAATAATAAAAATAATAAATAATAAAATTATTTTTGTTTTAATGAACTAATTAAAAAAAGAAACAAGATTGGCTTAAACCGAGTACATAATTATTAAATACATAGTTGACTAGAAGAGTAGTGACTTTCAATTCTATATAGACTTACATAGCTGACTTAAATAATTAATAATTCAATACGTACTTTTGTAGTTCAGGATTCTGTACAGCGCGATAATGTTAATTCTCAATGTTGGCTTATCCCCCGTCAGTTTTATTTTATTGCGTATTAAGGGATAGTATTTTTAAACAATAATGAATAAATAGTTATATTTTTTGTATTTAATGATAAGAAGCATTATATCTTATTTTATTAAAAACAAAGTAATGATATAAAAGTATTAGAAAATGTACTTTATCGTCATGCGTGAATAAAAATTATAGTTTTTAATATTTTTATCGCAAGGATTTTATAAATTTATTTTTTAAAATGTCATTTCTATTTTTATTCATATATTCTCAAACAAAATAATTTCCATAATATACTCAATATTGAAAATAATTGTATTTATAGCTTTGTATGCATTTTAAGTACATACAGAACTATCAAAGTCGCATTGTTAATCAACCACATTTTATGAATTACTCCGGTTATAATATAAAACTAATAACCTATATAAACCTTAATGCAATTTAAAATAAAATAAACTCTTAGTTCAATATTCGTCATGTATGTATACAAATCGATCAACTTACTATTCAGAATGTGATTACAAAAAAATAAATGAATACAATTATTTAAAAAAAAAACATATATAGTATCTATTAAAAGAATGTCTATAAAAGCAGTTGGTAGATTATTTTAAATGGGTGGTTGTGAGAACTCATATAACTTATCCCATAATATAACATATTATATTCTTGAAAGCCGTGCAATAAAGGTAGGTGCAAGAAAATTTGGTCTATTCGTACCTATATACATGTAAAATATATTTCTGATTGTAACCTAAATGTAATACCTTAACAATCCGAGACAAATACACATGTGCGTCGGATAATATAATCGTTTGAAAAGTCAATTTGAAGAAAAACTTTTATATGTGAAAAGTTTAAACGTCTGGTCATTTTCTTGGTAATCGAACTGCGAGAACCAATAGCTGTTTTAGATGAAATTGGGTTTGTGAGGTGGAACACTGAAAATAAAAGGAATATGTTATAGTGTTTAAATTAGGTGCATATATTTTATTATAAAGTTGAATTAATGACAATGTATTTGTGTTTTGTGGATTTCTCTTTAACTTTTTTATAGACCCATTTAAGTTCCAAATGTTTCAATAGAGAGTGTAGTTATCACAAGTATAAGACATCTTTATATTGCACCAATAATCTATTCTCTTTATAGTTCATAACATGACAAATAAGAACTTTAATGAACTCTTGGTTCTTAAATTATAATGCACACCATAAATAATATTTTTATTATTTATACCAAGCGGCCTTGATGTATCAAACATCAATCACTTTGATTTACACTCTATATATATAATGATAAGATAATAGTAGGTAATAGGTATATGTGTGTCAATATAATATCTTACAATTTTGGAATTTTTCTAAGATTTACCATTTCAATGGATTTTTTGACTCTGTGCATTCACATGAGGCACCTCGGTTATATTTTGATCTAAGGGGGGAATTTTGACTCTGAGTTCAGAGACCCCACCTAGACGCGGATCTAGAAATCTGAAATGAGGCGTGGTAGCTAAATACAATTATAATTTTATTACTTAAAAGGCTACTTAGTCCGCTCTAGATCCATGCCTGATCCCACCTCTTTAAACGGGCCTGAGTATTACGAATAAAATATGCTGTAAGTATGTTAGAAAACGTTATTGAATGCATATCATCCCAGTCACAAAAAACGGAAAGGAAAAACAACGAACTCGGTCCTTAACAATAATATAAATCATACCATGAATTATAAAAATGTTATACTCGTATTATGTAGAATAATCGAATTTGAATTTTTAAGTGCGTAATCTGTCTTGTCTTTTAACCGCATTAAAAAAAGTATTGGACTAGGAATTCTGTAACCGCAATGAGCCTGCTGTCCCAAGCAAAAGAGTATTTCCAGCCCCCAAAAATTAATGGCTCTATGACCTTATAAAAGTACACAAACCGTTTAAATCAATCATGCTTTATATACCACTCAAGCTGTTGAAGTATTATATTTGTTGGTCTTCATTATAATTGCTAGTGGTACTTTAGTCTCTAGCCTCTATTAAAGGTCGCTGAATCTTATATTGTTACGCCCACCGTCCATGAATTTGGCAGGGAAAAGTCAATAGTTCACTTTGGAAATCGTACAATAAACTTCATGTTGGTCATTGTTGGTTTGGTCCCAATATTTGTCGGAACTTTCTTTATTTTATAAAACCGTTTTTGATTTGTATCAATGTTTTAATCTACTGAACTTGCTGAACTTGATAGAGTATTAAAAAAAAACGTAAACAACGTTCCAATAAATGTTGCAGCCAATCCAACGATGACCAACTAATCCATTGGATTTTCACGGTATGAAAATAAACTGTGAATCGTTGTTGTATGGCCAAACCTACCATTTGAGTTGACTTTGCTAAGTTCACATATTCATGCTGCCCCCGTCACAATAATGATTAATTGTCTATATTAATTTAAAAAATAAAAATAAATGACAGTCTCCGTATGTATAAGTTTAACGGTCGAATGTGTTATGGTCGTTTTCAGGTTTCACAACGTCAAAAAGCTCAGCGAACACATGAGGGAATCCATGGATGAAGATAAGCTGGCACCCGTGCTATGGGAACCGCATTTGACTGCCGTTGATCGGCGAGTGGGAATCATCTTGCAGAAAGTCCGGCAATGTCTGTCGGTGAGCACGATGAGCGGCGAGGACGTGGCTGAGGAATCGCATGTCCGGCCCTCCACAAATGCCACGTTCGACGTCGACATGGGCGATATGGGACAGGAAGTCAAATACACGGCCAGGTCTAGGGAACAAACGCAAGGTGGAAACTGATGAGTGTTGTTTTTCTCGGTTCCGAACTGGCTCCGTTTGTGTCTGTTACTGGACGGATCAGGCCGAAGTGCGTTCAATTCGAATACAATATTATATTTTGGATCGCATTTGTCCGGTTCACTTGCCATCTCCAAGGTCTGTCCAAATTGGATGCCATGGCTCAATCGGCATCATATAAATACTTTAGCTTATCAAATAAAAATTTTAAATTTTGGAAGTCAATATTTTGTAGATTTGATTTCTTTATAAATGAAAAAAATGAATCAAAATTGATATTTTTTAAAAGTTTGTATCATGTCATAAGTTCACTTATTTTTCTACCAACTATTAGGATAATTTTTTTAAAGATTTATGTACAATATTATATATGAAACATCATAACTATATCTAATAGTTACTAAATTTAGTGGGAAATGAAATATTTATTATTTTTCTTTTTAATTAAAAGGTAAAATAAATACAATTACGATAGCCAAGTAAAAATGTAGTAATTATGTACATAGTAATAAATATCACTATAAATGTAAATAAATCTGACGCTAATGACAAAGCTGCCGAAGTGATGAATGATGATCAATAAAAAAATAAAAAATAAATAATATATTATAATACAGCCATCATTTTTTAGAGATGGCATGCAATTCGGACGCATCATTTTTTTTGGCATGCAATTCGGAAGAATCGATCAATTGACTTGATTTTTTGAGTGCTTCGATCGCCTGATATGTTGCGCTTGTGTTTGTGTGTAGGTGCGTATTGCGTTGTCGTAACGTATTATATTATTTTCACTATTTATTATTGACTGTATCTACGGTTTTTGTTAATCGGTAATCGCGTGGACGATGCTCGATAGCCATTGTAATGTTGTAATTGTTGGACATCCACTGTTCACTTTTCGTTATTGTATCGCTTAACTAGTAACTCATCTAGAATGATATCAATTTAGTAAATCGGTGTTTTTTACAATAGACCTTATAACCTTATATTTGTTTTTATAAGACTCGTCCTGAACACAACAATAATCTTTAGATGCCTTAAAATTGTACATTTGTACGTCATTCATTATACATACTTCAATAACTATAATAATTTGAAACGACTGGTGTTTAGTGGTTTAGACCATGTCGTGACATCCTGTGCCCACGAAAACCTCGGTTATATGCATACTGGTATATATATTCTGCGAATTGCGATACATGCAACCCATAAGTTCGTGTTGATATCATTGTAGATGATTAACTTATCGTCAGTGTTAGCGTCTTAGTGTAAACTACGATAGGTGCCTATAGTGATAATGTATTTTTTTTAAACATAGTTGACGGACTTATCAACAATTCCTATTTATATATACATATATATATTTAATTTTTATTAGAAAAAATTATGTTTATAGATAATATTTGTATTGAGTAATCTTCCCCAAGCCTGTCAAACACGTAGTATGTAATTTTTTACCCAAATAACGCGATATTCATAAATAGCACAGTCCACAGATCTATGAGAGGGGTCATATTGTATGAGGCTTAAAGCACGTTATGGTTATTAGGCCCAAAGAATTAAATTGTTTTGTATTTTATATTTAAATGAAACGTTTTCATTTTTTCGACAGATATTTCACTGTTCATTTGATTAATACATTATGATTATTTTTTTTGTTACGATATTAGAAATCGTGATCACATGAATATTTTATTTCAAATCAGATAATAATTCAAATATTCAATGCAAAATCAAAGTTATTATTGTAGAATTTTCAGAATATTGTGTTGTATTATACTATTTTAGACATTCCAGTGTTTCCAAGTTTTGTTAATGTTATTATTTTATATTTTAAATTATTTATGTGTAAATAAATATCATAACATGCGTAGGTACCTTCTATAAGAATATATATTTAAAATTTTTTTTCAAAGCTTATACCTAGGTAGTAAATATTATTTCAAATCAAGTTATATTCACGATTGAAGTTAAATTTGATAAAACTTACCCAAACCGTTGTAAATTATAAATTTTAATAGACACTGTTTTTCAATGTTCAATATTAAATGTATATTTATATTTTTATTATGTTATCAATTTTTTAATGTCCACTTAACTAAAAACAAATAATAAAATATAAAATAATACTGTTTGTTAATTTTTAGACAAAAAAAAAAAATGATTTGTGTTCAATACGTTATAAGCTCATAACTTATGAGTCATAAGTATAGTAAGTTATGCGTGTATTGTTCATTTTGAGATAATAATATTATGTACCTATATTGTATTGTTGATTACGTATTTAATACTTTTCCACTGTTCAATTTTAGTGTAGTATAATATTATACATGTTAAAATTGTTTGTTTGTATATTTATTTAAAGTAAAGTTATATTATTTTATGTGTTACACATCATTTTCATTATATTATCCAGAAAAAAATTCTCTGAAATGCCTTCATAAATGGTACCTACCTAAATACTGTACAAATGTATGATGAATTATAACGTTTATTTTACACATTTGATTTTGATTACAAATGTTTAAATAAAACCAGTATTTTTATACTATTGTTATGAAGTGTTATTTTTTTGTTGCCAAAATATTATATTTCTATTATAAAGTATGAGTGAACGATGTATATTTATAATAATATATGTTATAAGTTATAACTATATCAAGATATCACGTAGTATGAAAATTATGAACCACTGTTTGCCTTGATCGTGATAAATAGTTATACATTTAGTGAATATTATACCATTGTATAGGTACTGAAATACGTGCCTGTTATCGAACACTTCAAGTATGTACATTGTACGCGTACACAACAATTTTAATATGAATGAAACTGGCCTATTTTTGAACACACGCTCTGGCTCTGTTTGAAAAAAAATTATTCTGATGTGGTAAAAAAATATATCAATTAAATTGTAAAATATTGTAAATTGCGTGATATGATGTGCTAAACAAACATATGGATAGGCATTATGTAGGTATCTACATTAGTCACATGTATAACTTTAATTTGTTTCAAAAACAACACATGTGCGAGTGTTTGGCGTGTCACATATTTATGATGTTTCAACAAAAAAACTGGCTATTAACGACAACGTTTTGTATAAAATTCGAGTTGATTAGAAAAAAAAATATTACAAGATATATTCATGTAGTATTTGAAATATCTTTAGCCAAATATTTAAACTTAGTGTTCTGTAATCCATTGTTTTCGTTAAAGAGTACGTGTTCATCGTCACTGCTCAGTCAAACTAAAAAATTTAACAATCTTAATTGAAAATGATGACCTAATGCAAAATAACTAGATTTAAAATAATTTAAGTTTAAGAAAAAAAAATATAAATCATAAACTGAAGTTGATTAAAATATTATTTGAGTAACATATAATATGGTATGATCAATGCAGTAATAATTAATTAAGTACAAATAATGGTTTTTATGTGTGGCTTTATTCGATTTTGCTAAGTACATTATTTTTAGAATGTTTTTAAAGCTAATAATCCTAGTTTTAAAGATTTTTATTGATTTATTTATTACTAAAAATCGGTGGTAATTACAATGACCTAATAAAATAATAATAAAAACCACCATATTACCAACAAACATTAATATTCAATTCTCAGAACATAGTATAATAACTGGGTAATAAATCATTTTTATATTTTTTTTAAACCACAAAATAATGCATCTAAATCAATAATGTGATTATTTATTGATCTATTAAAAAAAACCCAAACATATGATAGAGAATTTTATTGTTCAACATATTAATATAATAAAAGTATATTATTTTTTTATTATAATTTATAAAAATTAAAAATATAACAATTAGATATTAATACATTATTATAATTTATTTATCGATGCATTAAAAAAATGTTGTAAGAATCAAGTAAAGATACCAGATAATTTTTCTATAGTACCATAAGTATTATACCGTAGTATAATAATGTACATAGTAATTTACAGTTTAGACAATAGAAACTTTTGATATTTGTTGTTGTTTTCAAACCAATTTAAATTGTAATAGTTTATTAACGTTTATCTGCTTAGTAAAAGAAAAATGTATTCTTTGTGTTAGTAGTTAGAAATATCGAAAAAACAGATCGGTAGCGGTATCTCTATTTAAATGCCGAAATGACATTAAATATTTAAATGGAAAGGTGTCATTATCTTCATATGGTTATTTCTTGGATAGTTAGATGTCTAATGTGGCTTTCTTTTTTGGAATAAACTAAACATATACCTACGTATTGGAGAGAACAACTTCATATAAAATACGTGTGTGCTAATATTACATAATAATTTCCATAATTCCGCCCATAATAAAAAAATTAATATATCTGAAACTAGCTTCACTTATTCTGGTTATTTAGTATTCTATATTGGTAAGTTACTCACAATCGTTGTTCATTATGCGTGCTGCTGAGTCGGCTAAAGATAATAATTGCAGTGTAATGTATCCTTACTTTTGTTAGTAGTTACTGATACTTAAGTGTTAACATTAATGTTAATAGGAAAATTAAAGTACAGTGTGCAATAACTAATTAAAGACTTAAAATTAAATAGTTTATTATTTTTGTTATAATCATTATTGTTGATTTTAATTTTTATTAACAATTATAGTGAAAATAAGATGATAAGTTGATCATATAAGAAAATAAAAAAAGATATAAAAGTTAAGAATATAAAAGTATTTAAATAATAATAATTTTTTTGTGTCATATTAAATGATTGTCTAATATGTTAAAAACCAAAGTTTTTCAAAGCTATAAAATGTATTCATTAATACTTTTGTTTAAATATTTAACGACAGTTTTATAAATTTTAAAGTATGCTATGTATTATTGCAGTTCAATAAACGTTTTGAAAGGAGTAATACTTTTCCAAATTTACCTGCATAACTCGTATAAAGTCATTATGTTTATACATACTACAAATTAAGTATTACGACGTACGAATAGCAACAAAATATGCAATACAGCAGTATTTGGACGCTACAGCTGCATGTGTTGTCTCCGTCTTATAAATGCGTAACATACCAAATTTACTCTCAGCAGATCACGTTTAAATCCGTTAGTTTAAAAATTAGAGAGAATCCACTTATTATGAAACTTGATGATAAGAACATAATCTGTGTGCCTATTGTGGTTTTTTTTATGATGGTTTAATTTTGAAGTGAGTTATGGGCATTTTTAATTTACGCTTTAATGTATGCCCATAACTTGCATAGAAATTGAACTATCGTTTTCTTTCGTTCGCCGACCATCGGGCCCGAGACATTGATCTCAAAAATTGGAGTATTTCTAGACCTTTTAGTTTTATGTCGATCCGTTTCGTCTTTTCGATCGTCGTCCGGGCTCCGATCGCACACTCGACGATTTTTAAGAGCCACCGATATTCGGTTCGTTTGTGAATTTGGTCCGCAGCCTCCGCGGTCACTTTCGCAAACCGAGCGCATGGAAGTTTATACTTATAATACATGCATATATAATATATAGTATATGCATATATACATGTCGTTTAAAAAAATAAATTCAACAAACTACATAAAATTATATTGTGTTTGTCGTCTTTTCTTAAGTTTATTAGACGGTATATTATGATACATAATATTTAAGCGGGGCTTATGATCGAATACCTTTTGGTCATTCCGTAGTAGGACGCTCTTATCGGTAATTGGGAATTTGATGTAGCACACAATTTTTGTAAGCCACACATACATTATCAAAATAAGCACCCAATTACGTGTATATTGTTTAAGTATGTGAGGTGTGTAGGCTGGTCGATGTTGTTAAATCATATGATATCATCTATACTTGATTATATATATGTTGCGGCCAATGATGAAAATTGAATATTTACGTTATTAACCGGTCATTAACGTTAGAAGCCAATTCGCTAGGTTATTTTCGTTAACTACCGGGCAATAACGTCAGTATCCAAGATAATAGGTTATTGTTGTAAATCACAAAATAAAATAAAACAATTTTACCTCAATGACCGAATCTTAAAGTTATTAATCATTGACTGTTGGTCAATTACGTAAATAAAATTAATTACAGACTACACTTAATAATAATTGTCTTATTATTTTTTTATTAAAATATTAATATATTATATTTTTTATTTATTATTTATTTTCGCAAGGCATGCTGTTGTGACATTTTGAGTTACACAATATTCCCGCTGATTGACAAATGCATTTGTTTGTTCTGAACTTTAGTTTGCAATTGCACTTTCTGTAACCTTGTGATCAAGTGACACTATTAAATCTGCCGCTTCTCTCAGCGTAATTTATTTTTCGGTATTTACAGATTCCAAATCAACGAAACTTTCTTTGCAAGGATCAATCTGCGATCGAGTATACACATGTTAAATGATGCCGTTTTCCGTACGCCGTACCTAATTAAAGAGCATTTATAAATTCAAATAAATGTATCTAAATAATATAATTTATAAGTACCTACCTAATTTACATAAATCATCTTCAACCTAGGGGACTTCAGTAACTATTGCTGGTTATCGATGATATTTTTACAAATAATACAGTACCTAACGTGAGTATAATTCAGACAGATAACTGACACTTAACAGTGACCCGTATGTTATAAATGTATAATTTACAACAACGTCCAACAGGAGTTGGGAATTGACGTAAATGATAAAAAAATACCCGTGTTTACAACATTAACCATTATGTATCGCCATTTACGTAAATTACAGGACATTTACATAAATTTGTATTGTACAAGATAATTTTCGACATTGGCCGGGCTTTCACGTAAATGTCAAAATTGTCGTCATTGACCGTAACATATATATACACACATATTACACGTAGTAAAACGGTTTTATTTTTTATGTCAGAAATTGTGGTGTATTTGCATTTCGTGCGCTACCGACATGTCAATGATTACAATTATGATTTATATGCGATATTAATTGTCACTTCACTTGGGTAGTTTAAAGTGACATTGAAAAAATTGTATTCAAACGGCGTGTATACCAAATCGAGTAAAATATACATATATAATACATAACTATCGTTGGAAATCGTGATACATTCGTGCCCGGAACGTGAGGAAATACGATTCATATATTACAACACAAGTTTGTGCCATAACTGCAGTGAAATGACCTGAGAATTGGCTTGAAACATGAGAACTGGACTGACCTGAGAGTCGGACTGAAACATGCGAGCTGGCTTACCGGAAAGCGGGACTGATTCATGAGAACTGGACTGACCTGAAAGAAGGACTGATACATGCGAGCTAGACTAACCTGAAGCGGGATTGATACATGAGAGCTAGACTGACGTGAAAGCGGGACTGAAACATGAGAGATAGACTGACCTGAAAGCGGGACTGATACATGAGAAATAGACTGAC